GACCATGCCAGACAAGAACATTCTCCTCAACTCTTACGGTATTTCTGGCAATAAGTGTATGCCATGCTGTGTATCCCACCGCAAGCCAGAGGTGATGACTGGCTAGCAAATGTTTTAATTAACTGTACTGATTTCTCTGTTCTGTATTCTGGCAATTTTAAACAATCTCCCATAAAGAAATCCACATAATTCATTCTGGGAGGAAATGATGCCATTAAATTTCACTCAAGCTGTATTTCTTCAACATTTGATGAAAAACTAGTGGCTGGGTTTGCATGTTTCTGCCAGAGGCCTAGGTATCTGCACTTTCTGGGCCAAAGTGACCAGTCACTTGATCATGCAGATACCTAGGCAGCGAGGCTGCCACATTCCCTGTGGCATCCTCCTGGCCTCAACATATATCACAGAAGCCCCTGGAGACAAAGTCCTGTCCTTTCCCCATTCTTGCCTATGGAGCACGGTAGCCACATTCTAATTGGTCCACTGAGATCCTGCGGCAGATTCTCCTTTCCGCCTCCCAAGTGTACCTGTAAGTGCACGGTGCTTTCCAACTGCCTCTCAGACATTTCTATTAAATGAGAATAAATAGTTTTGCAAAATTTGTCCAGGTATTTTCTCCCTCTAGGTGGTTTCATCTTGTCTCCTGGCTTCCAAGAGGCAATTAGAAGATGGGCACATCCTTCAGCCAATGGGAATAAAGTGATCAATGACACATCTGTTGCTAGGGTCCTGAGGACACTGAAGATTTTAGGCTAGAAGTGGCCACTTCCATGGGTACTCTTGCCAGGGGACCCTGCAGTTTTAATTTACTGACAATGGTAAAATAGTCATCCCAGGTTCATATGATCAGAGAAACTACAGTGGCGCATGGAAACTTTACAGCAAATTGTGGATTCTTGCTGTGGTTTCAGCAAATTAATCCTACCATGCAGGAGCTATGTGACTGACACGGGAAGACACAACAGACCCACAACGGTAAGATTTCACCATGGCGTCTCATGTTGTGTGAACTTGGAGGACTCTCGGCAGATGGTTGAATCAGGACCTACTTCTGCCTAGTCCAGGTATTCAAAATATGATGGCAAAAAATGCTATCCCAAGCCAACGTGCTTCTAGCTTAATACTTGAACGTTGTATCATGTCAAGATGAAGGTCAGATGCCCTTCCTGCTGGAACTTAAGATATGAAGACCCCTTTCTGGCAGACAGATGGATGACAAATCCATGCTAGTAAAGATGAGCAGAGGAAAAAGATGTTCCAAGCCACTGAGAACTCTCTGCTGTGCATCCCAGGTGGTTCTTCTCTAGAAAGGCAGCTCTATGCAGTTCATAGGAGACTCTGGAATCACAGAATCCAGAGTCTAGAGTGAAGAAATTAGAATCTGGTAGAGACTAGAATCATAGTGCAAATAGAGCCAGAGGACTGTGTCTTGGATGAGGGGTAAATCCCAAGACACTGGCTGCATTCACAGGAAAAACAATCAACCATGCATGTTTTCTATGGTTTGCATTTTTTTTACCATGATCTCCCTAACAGATGAGCATACGGTTTCTGTGTTATGGTGGTTTCCATCTCCTGCCCAGTCTTCTGGCTGTTGGTACATATTCCATTATCCATATTCTACTGGGAAAATCAATCCCAAGGAGTACCGTTCCCTGTCTGTGTCACTTGCCTCTTCCACATTGGTCCATGATGCAATGGTTCTTGTAGCTTCCACTCTTTCCAGAGGACTCTGTTGTAGCTGTATACCAGGACCATGGGAACCACAGTCCTGGATTCAGATAGCACAACAAGCCCAGGGCATCTGGGGAGACCATAAAACAAACAGCTGCTTCCTATCATGGTTTCTAAAGATCAAACTTGCAATAATATAACTGGGTTCAGATGACACAACAGGCCAACGCTGGTGAAAAAATCCACCATGGTTTGCTGTGTTGTCTGAACCCAGCAACTGCCTTCACCAGCTCGGACACCTGACTTGATGGAAGCCCCTCCTCCTCAACCTGATGTATTTTCCATGTGAATGGGGCAGCAAGAGGATTGTGCGGAAGGGGGCATTTTGGCAACATCTCCTTTGAACATTAACTAAAGAAGCACCCAGAAAGGCATCACCATTGCTGGAAAGCCAGAATTCCTTTCACACCAAAGTGTGATAGTGATCTTTAACAACCATTTGGCTGAATTTAATCCAGAGCGGCCATCAGTAAACTCTGGTGGAATCAGGAGTTTCTAAACCTGAAGGGCTTCCTTCTCTGTACCTTCTCTGTAACTGAACTCACTGGGCCTTTTCTGTGTACTGTTCCCAAAAATTATTTATTTATTTATTTATTTATTTATTTATTTATTAAAACATTTTTATGCCGCCCCATTCGCCGAAGCCTCGGGGCGGCTTACAACAATAAGTTAAAAATAAATAACATTAAATTAAAAATAAAAATATTAAAATTAAAAATACAAAAATACCAATATAAAATAAGCCGCCCTGGTCAGATAAACTCCAATAATATTAACAATTAAAATGCCGCTTAAATAAAAAGGTCTTCGTCTGGTGCCGAAAAACAAATAACGACGGCACCAGGCGGACCTCTCTGGGGAGTGCGTTCCATAACTTAGGCGCCACCGCAGAGAAAGCCCTCCTCCGAGTCCCCTCCCTCCTAATTTCTTTCACGGAGGGTTCCCGGAGAAGGGCCTCTCCCGCTGATCTCAGGGGTCAGCTGGGCATATATGGATGTAAGCGCTCCTTCAGGTAACCAGGACCCAAGCTGTTTAGGGCTTTATAGGTCATCACCAACACCTTGAATTGGGCCCGGACTTCAATGGGAAGCCAGTGACGCTGATGGAGGACTGGAGTCATGTGAACATAACGCCCAGTCCCCGTCAGCAGCCTGGCAGCTCTATTTTGAACCAATTGAAGTATCCAGACCGTCTTCAAGGGTAGCCCCACATAGAGCGTGTTGCAGAAGTCCAGACGGGAGGTCACCAGCGCATGTGTCACTGTTGCCAGGCAGTCGTACTCCAGGTAGGGGCGCAGCTGATGAATCAGCCGAAGCTGAAGGAAAGCGCTCCTCACCACTGCTGTCACCTGAGCTTCCAGTGAAAGCTCCGGGTCAAGGAGCACTCACAGGCTGCGGACCTTGTCCCTAAGAGGGAGTGCAACCCCATTCAGGACTAGGTTCAATTCACCCTCT